AGAAGGAAATCTCAATTACACAATTTAAAAGATTCAGTTAAATTAAATACACTCCATAGCCAGAAGTGTGTGGACACCCGACCATCACACCTATGTGCTTGTTGGACAACTGTTCTAAAACCATGGGCATTAATACTGAGTTGACCAGCCTTTGCTTCTATAACAGCCTCCACGCTCCTGGAAAGGCTTTTAAAGGGTGTCTGTGGGAATTTGTGCCCATTTGTGAGGTCAGGCACTGAAGCTGGATGAGAAGACCTGGCTCGCAATTAGTGTTCTAATTCATCCCAAAGGTGTTCACTAGGCTTGGGGTCAAGGCTGTGTGCAGACCACTCAAGTTCCTTTACACCAAACTGGTGAAACCATGTCTTTATGAAGGTGGCTTTGTGCACTGGGGCACAATCATGCTAAAACAAAAAGGGACTTCTCCAAACTGTTACCACAAAATTAGAAGCACACAATAATCTAAAAAGTCTTTACAAGCTGTAGCATTATCAGTACCCCTAACTGGAAAAACCTGAACTCAATCATTTGAAAGGGTGTCCACATCCTTTTAACCTAGAGTGTATAAAAGTACAGCATATGGTTTGGGAGTTTTCCAATATGTCTTTACACTCATCACTTCACTATAACCTACTTATCTAGAGTGGTGCTAGAAGGTATAGCTCATAGCTTCACCCAGAACTTTCTCCATGACAGGTTACCATCTAAAAAAAGATAAAACAAGAATAATAAGACATAGGGTAAAGTGAATAGATGGTATAACCAAAACGACTATAAGAGGGAAAAGAAAGGAGGACCTGTTGACAAACCTAGGATACCATAAACCACAGGGTCATGAAGGCTCTGACTTGAATAAACTAAATATATACACAACACATAACACAAATAAAGAAGTCAAAATAATTTAATAGCAATGCATGCAACCAACATTAGATCACAGGAACTCTTAGCTCAGCCTAAATTATTAGGAATGTTATTGTATAGTAACTATGTTACACAGCATGTGACCTGAGCCACACTGGTAGTGGAGTTGAAATATCAAAGCCAGTAAAATATTAATGTCATTTGGGGGCCAGACCTGCGAATTGTGAATTTTGGTTTCCTACTGTTCTTCTTCTCGATGGTCTGTTAAATGTTCTAATACACTCCTCCTCCAATTCTTTGTCAAATATTGCCTCTAAAAGGTGTTAACATTCATCTCTGGTCTTCCATCTCTAGTTTTGGATAGAATAGGGAAAAGTGAGAACCCCAGTCAGGTTTTAATTGCCAGCGTATCAGCTGGAACGATTCATCCTCTATACATCCTGTTGACCATTGTCAAGGGGACTAAAAATTATGGGCAATCCAAAATGTTACAGCTACCACTGGAACAGGGGGCGAGGGGAAACATTGAGATGGGACACCTATTCCAGTAATAACTGTCTCTTCCAGAACACAAGAGGTCAACAAGAGGAACCACTGAACACAGCCAGAGACACAGAAGATTGACACTCCCAGAGGAGGTGGAATCTAAGCCAACTTTAGTGAAAGATTTCACTTTAACAGCAAGATTTCGAACAGAGGGAAGTGGAAGGGGTATTGATTTACTCTCTTCTTCTGCAGGTAGAGCTTTGAGGCCAATTTCATTACTTGACCTTTCCAACCTGTACATGGTTCCTAAACCAAATGATGAATGGTTTATTCTCAACCTCAAGTGTCTGAACAAGTTCTTGAAAGTACAAAAATTCAGGATGTCTTCCCAGGGAGGGAAATCAGGGACTCCTCCCAGGCGGTGATTGCTTCACTTCATCAAGGAGACTTTCTGCCGCAGGTGGACATGAGGGATGCCATTCCGTTATTCCAATGATTTCTGCATTCTGCAGTAGAGGATCATCACTAACAATTTTGTGTCATTGCCCTATGGTCTGTCCAAGGATTCCAGGGTGTCCACCAAGATGTTGGGCTGATTTTTTGGGTTGTTGAGAGCCAGTGGGATCCCCTTGAGGAATATGTGGGCAAATTCTTCGAGGACAATCACATCAGCGACTGACATGCAGCATACAGATGACGATAGAGGTCCTGGAGAGGTTGGCTGGGTCAAAAAACCTATGGATGTAGCTTTGATCCTATCCTAACACTTGGAATATTCGGGGTTTGTCCTGGATACATCGCAGGACCAGGTGTTGCTTCTGCAAGAAAAGCTACTGTTTCCATGAGCCCAGGCAAAATTTCTCAGGATGCTGAAGAATCTCTCGATCTGGACTTGCATGAGGATGTTGGGGAAGATGGTAACTGCCTAAGAAACAGTCCCCTATGCAGTTTTACTCCAGAGCTCTGCGGCTTAAAATCCTGGGTGGCATGGAACAAGTGTTGGGAGTCCTTGGATTAGTCAATGCACCTAACCCGAAATCAGAGCATCTCCGAAATGCTGGCAATCCACGCAGATGCTGGAGAGAAGAAAATCCTTACTTCCACTACAGTGGAAGTCCTGACAATGGATGCCAGCCTCTTTAGCTGTGGTGGGGTTCTGGAGAGCCTTTCAGGTCAAAGAACATGGCCATAAGAGGAATGGAAGATCAACATCCTGGAACTTTGAGCAATCTGTCTGATTCAAATTCCCGGGAGTGGAAGATAAGAAAGTGGATTTTCTCAGCCATCAATGGCTTGAACCCAGGGGAATGTGCCCTTCACCCTGAGGTATTTACTGAGATTTGTCTGTGGTGGGATGATGTCAAAATGTGGATCTCTTCACATCCAGGATTCAACAACAAGCTAGACAGGTTTGTGTCTTGCACCAGGGATCCTCTGGCCATAGCGGTGGACAAATTGGTGACTCCTCGGTAAAAAGTGGTATGCAGATATTGTGGATCTTTTGGCAGGCGAACCATGGGCTCTTCCAGATCACCTGACCTTATCTGAAGGTCTGCTATTCCATCCTACTTTACGTTAGCTGTCTTTGACGAAATGGCTGTTGAAGCCCAGGGCCTGAGAGTTCTCAGGACTAAAGAGTCGACCTTCAGGAAGGCTTACAATGGTACATGGAAAGCTTATTTCACTTTGTGTTCACCACTTGAATTCCATCCTAGAACGTGGGCTACAATATGCCCAACAACCTTTCTCTAATCTGGTCTAGAGATGTCCTTGGCCTTGAGCACCATCGTGGGACAGGTCTCGGCATGAGCCATACTTTTTCAGAGGCCCATTGCATCTCATTCCTTGGTCAAAGTCTTCGTTCAGGGCATCTCTTAGCTTGTTCCTCCTGTGTGGCGCCCGCTATCTTTGCAGGACCTTAATTTGGTTCTGTTGGTGTTCTAGTCCTCTCCTTTTCAGCCCTGATAGATTCCCTTGATGCTTGATGGCCTGAAATCCAACCTGCTTTAGCAGGGACCGGTCAAATTTTAAATAACGTGTAATCACTGCAGTTGAACAGTCGACTTCTGTTAAAACGCGGGCTTTTATCGCCCCTCAATTTCTAGTATAAACAAACGCTTAATAAATTGAATGGAATGTTTTTGGTTTGCGGTTTTTATTGAATTCAGTTTGTCACACCGAATGATCATATTGATGCATGTGTGGTCACCATCAGCCCACAGCATCAGGAGAACCTGCCTGAACGCTACCCAACCCCCCCCCCCCCCCCCCAAATGGTTTCAAGATAGACTTGTGCCAAACTGTATGATCGACGCTTTCCGACGCGAATGATTCGTTAACCTGCGCGTTCCTGTTTATGGTGGGGGGGATGGACAAAAGACGTTGCAAGATGGTGGGATCCTACATGGAGATCTGACTATTGCGTGACGCCCATTGCCAGGGAAAGCCATTACCGACTTTCCGTTGGTCGAGAACCAGCTTTCCAATGAGACGCCACGCAGGAAGATGGCGATCTGTATAATCAGACGACTTGCGGAGGAATGCAAAAGGTCAATTTCACAATGAACAACAAACCCTCATATAAAGAGAGAACCAGAAAAATGATTTGTGGAGTTGACATGACCCTCCCCCACCCCCTCAATTCCCACACAGTGCTGGGACCCCCTTTCTCTCATAATAAGAAAACATTATTACCTCCTCCTCCCTGGGCACAACACTCCTCTCCAGCCTCACATCTCTATCAGCAGCTAGAAAACAAGAGAAGAACTCTGCTAATTTTCCTGGTTTCCTGCATGAGCTGCAACAAAATGGCGGCGGACCTCCCCTGCCACTTCCGTCCCACTGCGCGCGCGCGTTACCATAGCAACCAGGCACAGGACAGCCCGGGAATAAACGAACAAAAGGCTCTGACACGGCCCTAGGCAGAAACCACGCCTACTCGTCGGCAAAGCGCTAGAGGGTGAACGCTCCAACCAGAGATTTTTTTCCCCTTCAGAAAGGCGGCGGCCATTTTCTTGTAGCTCAGTTGTGGACAGATCCGAAATAATATTCAGAATTTTGAAAGTGGAACTTATTTTCTATTGGTTTTATTATTTATATTACGTTACATATACTAACTGTTTGTTATTAAGATAAATAGGGAGAGTTAGGAGAAGGGGCGGTGCATTAAGAAGGTCGGCGGCCATTTTGCTGTAGCCCAAGAGGAAACAGCAGGAGACACCAGAGAAGGGGAGGTAATAATGGTTCCTGTTAGGAGAGAAGGAAGAGAGAAGGGGATTCCAGCACTCTATAAAGGGTTGCCCAAAAGTGTATGTTGACAACTGAAGGTGTGGATGTAAGAATACAGCTAGCTGGTTATCTAGCATGAAACTAGAAAAAAAAATAGAATCTAGAATGGCAGTTCTCTTCTCCCAAGATCATTAAAGGCAGCCAGACCCAGATATGATACTGTTCTACCATACTCTGCCCTGCTCTTCTATATTTTTTCCTTTTATTTTTTTAATGTGATTTATTAGATTGTGAACTTTATACTGCAGAATTTATTTCAAGAACAGACCTGATATACAGAAAAGCAAAAATATTTGTAGGGACGTACGGATCTCCGTCTTTTATTTCAAGTTTGGAGTGGGAGCCTGTAGAAGGACGTCATTATGGCGAGCCAGCCAGAACTCACATCACCGGGTAAGAGGAGACTTTGCTGTCAATAGATTTTTACTGAAACATTTTTTGTTTTTAAAAGATACAAAGGCAAGCCAGGGGCGGAATGACCATTTGGAAACTCGGGCACTGCCCGAGGGCCCGGGGTCAGTAGGGGGCCCCATGAGATGCCCCTGGTACCTTTTCATAGACTTTTTTGAGTTTGGGCAAGGACACAGGGGCCCCATGATCCCCTATTGCCCGGGGGCCCCATGAATTGTCAGTCCGCCCCTGTGGCAAGCACAGTCATGTATACAAATAGAAGTGTGAAATCAACGATTGACGAATTAAATGCGACTGTGTATAAATCGGTACAGCCGGAACAAAGGTCAAGATAGTTGGCAATGCAGAAGTACAGTAAACATGTCATAACAATGAGACAACATGGACAGCACGGTGGCTAAATGGTTAGCACTTCCACCTGGCAGCACTAGGGTCGTTGGTTCGAATTCCAACCATGTCACCACCTGCCTGGAGTTTGCATGTTCTCCCTGTGCCTGCGTGGGTTTCCTCCGGGTACTCTGGTTTCCTCCCACACTCCAAAGACATGTAGGTTAATTGGCTCCTGTCTAAATTGTCCCTAGTATGTATATGTATGAATGTGAGTTAGAGACCTTAGATTGTACACCCCTTGAGGGTTAGGGACTGATGTGAATGTACAATATATATTGTAAAGTCCTGCGTACATTGACGGCGCAATATAAGTACCTGTAATAAATAACAGTACAATACCCTGGAAACACTAGAACTCAATAATTTAGAGGGTTGCCCACATTCTTTTAAACATTTGTGAAGCATGCAACCTTGCTCATACAATACCAAGTCAGAGGACTGAGCATGCTCAAAAAGACATTCTCTATCTTGGAGAAATTAAGATACCACGATGTAGTGATTTTGGACTCATTATTAAAGAAAAAATATTCCCCAAAAGATAATTATATGGCCAGCTGTTATCTGTCAGCCAGTTTTTGTTAAATCTAAATATGACCCGTCCAGAAAACAGATCCTAAATTGACCCTTCTACAGTTAGGTAAAAAATAAACAACAATGAGACAATAAGGATTATTTCAGGTACTTATTTGCCACTGTCAATTTACACAGCACTTTACATATATATTGTACATTCACATCAGTCCCTAACCCTCAAGGGGCGTACAATCTTAGGTCCCTAACTCACATTCATACATATACATACTGAAAGGGATTTGTGCTTCTAATAATCACTGGTAGGTTCCGGTTCCCCATTAGGCCTAAGAGACTGTGTTCTGGAAGGAAGAAATTAGCATGCAGACCCAGGTTTCCAGAAGACAATCTGAATCTTTATTCGTAGATTCTTCTTATATTGTAACAAAGAAAACCATACAATAGGATTTCGCTGGATACTTGTCAAGGCTGTGACCGTGAGATTTCTCAGACCTTGAAATCAGTTACAAGTAACCAACAGTTATTTTCCCATGGGACAGAAGTATTTGATGTTTAACTATATCATAGCAGAAACAGGTGCTGTTAGTACAAAGAAATAACTGGATACTTTCCCTGCCTCTACCAAGGCTAAGCTAAGATAAAAAACAAAAGAATGTGTGAGTGCAGTTCTATAATACATACACAGCTTTTACATGCACGTCTTCATATTTTCATTAACTCATTCTGGGTATAATACAAAACAAGTAATCAACATGGAGTACAAAGTATAAAATGGAGTTGGGGGGGGGGGAAACAAAATAACAGAAATAAAAGACATACATTTCCTTTCACATACTAGTGCCAATTGACAGGAGCTAATTCACCTACCATGCTGGTCTTTGGGGTGTGGGAGGAAGCCGGAGTACCCAGAGGAAGCCCATGCAGGCACAGGGAGAACATGCAAACTCCAGGCAGGTGGTGCCATGGTTGGGATTTGAACCAATGACCCTAGTGCTGGCAGGTGGAAGTGCTAACTATTTAGCCGCTGTGCTGCCCCACAGGATAACAAAAAGACAACCATGCGCCCAGGGGCAGACTGACAACTCATGGGGCCCCCGGGCAATAGGGAATCATGGGGCCCTTATGTCCTTGCCCAAACTCAAAAAAGCCAATGAAAAAGGTACCAGGGGCATCTCATGGGGCCCCCTACTGACCCTGGGCCCTCGGGCAGTGCCCGAGTTTCCAAATGGTCAGTCCGCTCCTGCATACGCCTATACCACGAGATCAGGCATTGGTGAGGGAGATATCTGTGTATAAAATGAACTAAGAATCAAACAAAGAAACATATAGGAACAAAGCATATATCGTCACTGCGGAAGAGCCAAAAAAAAAAGGGGAGATAGAATTGAAGGAGCAAAAGATAGGAACAAGAGGAGGACGTCTGGGGCACCTGAGCCCGTGCCATAGGGTCTCAGTATTTATAGCAATGTAAAACTGGCTGTTGATATAGTAGGGTGGGCATGTTGGGTCCATATTTTGAGGAATTTTTCATGGGTATCCAAGAGAATACTTGAAAGTTTTTCTTTGAAGATAAAGAAGTCTAGGCGGCAATGAACTTCCATAAAGGGAATGAACTCTTGTTTCCAGGCTTTCCTTTTGGTTTGTTTTGTAGCACGTAGGTAGCCATTTGAAATTGGTATTTGGTGAGGCCCGGGGAGGGGGGGGAGGCACAAATGTAGAAGGACATGCCATGGGTCTCTTGGGAAGGGACAGTTAAATAAGGAGTGTAGAAGCTTACGTACTTTTGTCCAGAACCAGGAAAGCATGGGACACTTTAACCATGTATGGAGGACGTCTCCCATGATAGGGCATCCAGGGAAGAGGAGACTCATTTCTTGCAAGGACTTGTTCACACCATGGTGCAGAGGCATTTTCTGCACGTGTTCTGCAAGGGCACAACAAAATCATTTGTTCTCTGTGCCCTGTTTACACCAAAACACTAGTATCACGTGCAGATTTTTTCTGGTCAGGAAACTGCTACATGTATAAAACTAATTGAAGCGCGCATGAAAAACTGATGTCTCTGAAAGTGAAATCTGCACGTCAGTTTCCATCGGTTTTTCTGCACGTATGGTGTGAATGAGGCCTAAAGGACAGAAGAATATTGAGGATCCACCTAGATACACACATCCTCCAATATAAAGACTTAGAAACAATGTATTCAGTCAGTATGTGTGTTTCCTACAGATGGATCCAGTAACAGAAATTCCCCAAAGAGATGTCCGCGTCCTCTGTATTCCTGGGACTCCACCAAGGAACATCAGGAGTTCCCTCAGGAGGATCAGGTAGATGGAATACATTTCCTTTAGAATAATACATTATACGAGGCGTGTCCAAAAAGTAATGAGAATATTTTTAAAATTATTGAAAAGTTTTACAATTGAACATTGTCTCCTACAAAGTATGCACCTTGTGAGTATACACAACGCTCCCAGCAATGTTTCCATTCTTCATAGCATTCCCGGAAGTCTCTTCAAGTGGGATGGCAATCAGAGCCTGCATAGTGGCTCTTTGGACATTATCCAGACTACCAAAATGGTGTCCTTTTCAAACCGTTCTTCATCTGTGAGAATAGGGATGCACCGATACCAATTTTTTTTTGCAGCTAGTATGAGTACCAATACTTTTTTTTTTTTTGTACTCCCCGATACCAATTACCGTAACCTGCTGACAACTGTTTTTTTACAGGGGAACCCCACTGACAGCTGAATGAGTGATCAGTTGTTAAGGAGGCAGTGTCCCCGCTCCTTAAAGCGGAACTATACTCACCTCGGCTCCAGCAATGTGGCATCCTGCAGCTCCCTGCTCAGTGGTGTATCTAGGTTTTGTGTTGCCCTAGGCAACACAAAAATTGGCACCCCCCACAGAAAGAGCCTGACATTGACCAAGAACACCCATGCCCTCCACCCAAGCCTTCCACTACCACTGCCTCCCTTACATCAGCCACTATCCCCCATGGCGAAAGAGAGAAAGACACACTCAGCTTCACAGCACCGGATATCCCCAGGAACGAGAGTTGGGCTGTGCATACACCGCCATGAAACCCGCAGCCTCTCTCAGAACCCACCAGGTCCCCATGCCGCATGTGTCCCTTCTTCCGTCCCTTCTTCCAAGGGGCAGTGCTGCCCCCCTTGAAAAATTCCACCCTAGGCAAATGCCTTGTTTGCCTTGTGGTAAATACATCCCTGTCCCTGCTGACATCTTCAGGATGACCAGCTTCCTGGTCTCGATTGCCGGCCGCTGTCATTTGCCAGACAGATATTAATTCAGTCAGATTCATCATTGCTGAATTTGTACAGTGAGCTGCGCATTCGAGGCTCCCTGTACAGGGGCGGACAGGCAGGGCAGGATAGGATCACTAAAACTGGGCACAACAACACTTATGTTGAGGGAGACCTAGATGTAGAAAACCACTTAAACAATTTTCTTTCTCCAGTCTTCTCAGAAATAAGTTATACTAACAATAATAAGTTGGTCAATCATATTGGTTTTTCTAGTAATGATGGTTCATTTTTGGGATTTCCAGAGACAGAGGTAGCAGAGGAACTGGCTTAGTGAAAGATTAATAAAGCAATGGGCCCTGATGGTATTCATCCCAGAGTTCTAAGAGAACTTAGAGGTCTAGTTGTTGGACAATTAACTGGTCTTTATAATCAATCTCTTCTAACAGGAGGAGTTCCCCATGACTGGCAAACAGCTAATATTGTACCTATCCACAAGAAGGGCAGCAAGGTAGAAGTCGGCAATTACAGGCCAGTGAGTTTAATATCGGTTGTAGTCAAGTTAATGGAATCACTCCTGAAAAGAAAGATCGTAGATCACTTAAAAGCTCACGACATGCTGGATCCAAAGCAGCATGGCTTTACTGAGGGCAGATCATGTCAGACTAATCTGATAGGATTTTTTTTACTATATTACCAATGTTTTAGACCAGGGTGGTGCTGTGGTGGTGGCATATCTTGATTTTAGCAAGGTATTTTGACACAGTTTCACATAATGATCTAATACAAAAGTTGTACAAGCTAGGACGTAGCCCTTGGGGTGGTTCAGTGGATATGCAGCTGGCTAAAAAATAGATACCAAAGTGTGGTTATAATTGGGTTCACTCAGAACAGAGACTAGTCACTAGTGGTGTACCCCAAGGCTCTGTACTAGGTCCTGTTCTATTTAATCTATATGTAAGTGATATAGCTAAATGTTTGTTGGGTAAGGGATGTCTTTTTGCTGATGACTAAAAGGTGTGCAATAGGGTTGATATCCCTGGAGGTGTATGTAACATGGAACATGATTTGGCATTGTTAAAAGATTGGTCAAAAAAGTGGAAATTTCAGTTCAATGTTTCTAAATGTAAAATAATGCACCTAGGGAAAAAGTATCCCTGGAGAGAGTACAGCATTGGGGATACATTTTTGCCCAGCACTTTAGAGGAAAAATACTTGGGGTGGAAGCAAATAGAATTCTAGGATGCATCACTAGAGGGGTCACCAGCAGGAGGAAGGAGGTCCCGATTCCTCTATATAGATCTTTAGTTAGACCTCATTCAGAATACTGTGTGCAGTTCTGGAGACCTCACTTACAAAAAGATATTGATAAGCTAGAACAAGTCCATAGACGGGTACCAAAAATGGTGAAAGGTCTGGGGGATAAAACATATCAAGAGCGACTTCAGGAACTTAGCATGTACAGTCTAAAGGAAAGAAGGGAAAGTGAGACATGATTAAAACCTTTACATACATCAAGGAGGTGAATGAGGTTCAGGAGAGTAGTACTTTCAACATGAAGCCAAAATCAAGAACACGGGGGACATGACCATAAACTAACTGGATGAAAGTTCAAAACCTATCTCAGAAAGTACTATTTTATTGAAAGATTAGTTGATGCTTGAATAAACTTCCAGCAGAGGTAGTGAGACAGTCAACAGTAAATAGCTTCAAACATGCTTGGGACAATCATAGATCTATAAAAATACAAAGAGAAAAAACCTAAACCCCCCCCCAAAAAAAGGGCAGACTCAATGGACCACTTTTTTACTGCTGTCACTTTTCTATGTTTCTATATAAAAACTAAATTTAATTACTAATAGTTAATCAAATAGAAATGAACACAAAAATCAGCAGGATAATGATAATTAAATGGAGAAGGAGAATAAGGAGTTAATTAGGGCTAATTACAGTAAATTAAGCGTTAATAAGGGGTTCAATAGAGGCACATTAAAAGAAAAAAAGCGCACTTTTTTTTTTACTTGACAGGTTGCTTTTAACTTCATCTGTAGATGGAAGATCATCCCTTTGATCTGTAGATGAATAAACAGAAAGATATAAAATGAAACAATTTTTTTTTTATCTTTCTGTTTTAGCAGCTGAGTAATGTTGTTGATAAACATTGTTAGGCTGCTTTTTCTTGTCCTTCAACACCTTCTTGTCCTTCCTTGAAGGCCTTCTGCTATTGGTACCCTTGTGCAGATGATAGTGCAGCTTCTCCATAAGCTTTCCTCTCCATTTCCAAAGTTTCTGATGCACTTTTACCCAATTTCACACAAAATGTTTATCGAATTTTTTTTTTTTCTTATTATTATTATCAAAGGAAAACTGGCACAAAATACAGAAACTCCTCACTTGATGAGTTCTGTTCCTATGACTAGGTCAGTGAATTGATCACTAAGTGAGGAGCAGCCCCTTACCAACATTTCAAGCATGCTGGCCTGATAGAGGGTTTGTGTCAACCATCTTGTTTTAATGTCACCTTTGCACCATTTATAAATTTTTTTTTGGTATGTTTATAAATATTTATATAGTAGTGTACTGTGCACTGCTGTTTTCCCAACCAAAGTTATCATACAAGTAAATCACAGTGCAGCGCTAAAAAATATATTCTTTAAAAGTGACTCAGCAATAAAGTAAATAATGACGTTTTTACCTTTTTTAAAAGTTATCATACAGCATACGATACCGACTGGTCAGAAAGCTGGTCATAAGTGTGAACGGTCATAAACAGGTTGCTAAGTGATGAGTGTCTTTAGTAAAAAAAAATTCTTAATTTTAGCTGTATATTTCTTGCTATTACCATAACCTACCATCAAACAACAACCAAAAATAAATTCTTCTGCTCCTGATGATCACAGTGATCCTACACATGTGTATGTTAGTTGTTGTGTGTACCCGTAGTGGAGCCTGGAATCAGTAGTGCTCAGCTTGCTTTTTTTTACTACCTAAAATACGCTGACACTAATACTAAATAATTTTTTTTTAAACCTACCCAAAATACACTGACCCTGACACAATATTGACACTTTGGGCCCAATTTGGACCTTGTCACTTAGGGGTGGACTCACTTTTGTTGCCAGCGGTTTAGACGGCTGGGGCTGTGTGTTGAGTTATTTTGAGGGGACAGCAAATTTACATGTTATACAAGCTGTACACTCATTGTAGCAAAGTGTCATTTCTTCAGTGTTGTCACATGAAAAGATAGAATAAAATATTTACAAAAATGTGAGGGGTGTACTCACTTCTGGGAGATAATGTGTATGTGTATATATATATATATATATATATATATATATATATACGGTACATACACTGTATTGCCAAATGTATTACACTACACTGCATAGTTTAAAATAACATAAATAAAAGTTAAACTCCCCCTACACAAATAAAAAAAAAAAATTCTTGTGTTTCAGGTGTTCCAATCACCTCCATGGCCACAGGTGTATACAATCAAGCCCCTAGGCATGCAGACTGCTTCTACAAACATTGGTGAAAGAATGGGTCGCTCTCAGGAGCTCAGTGACTCCAAGCGTGGTCCCATGATAGGTGGCCACCTGTACAATAAGTCCATCCGTGACATTTCCTGGCTACTAAATATTCCACGGTCAATTGTTAATGGGATTTTAACAAAGTGGAAGCAACTGGGAACAACAGCAACTCAGCCACCAAGTGGTAGGCCACGTCACATGACAGAGTGGGGTCAGCGCATGCTGTAGCGCACAGTGCGCAGAAGTCACCAACTGTCTGCAGAGTCAATAGCTAAAGACCTCCAAACTTGGTGTGGCCTTTAGATGAGCAACAACAGTGTGTTGAGAGCTTCATGGAATGGCTTTCCATGGCCAAGCAGCTGCATCCAAGCCTTACATCACCAAGTGCAATGCAAAGCATCGGATGCAGTGGTGTAAAGCATGCCACCACTGGACTCTATAGCAGTGGAAACGTGTTCTCTGGACTATATAAAAGATAGTGCGGCCCTACATATAACTCTAAACAAGGGCCATATAATGGTATATATAACTCATAGAATGCAGGAAAAAAACACATAAGCGAATAAAAACAATGGACCTATAGAGACATCAGCCCTTACTGACTGGACTGATAACAGACATAAGTAAACATATAACACACTATCCCTTCTTGATCCTCATCTGAGGGATCATAAATAAGTGCAGAAAGTGTGTGTGTCCCTTTAAGGGATATAATATTAATGATAACACTGTGAACCGTGCCAAAACATACTTCAAAACCAGTGATACAGCACTCCACTCCTACTTGTGCATAAATGCTGCAAAAAAATGTCCACATAGATGTCTCAGAAACACACTCATGCAAGTGATATTCTTGTGCTTGTGCTGATATCATGCCGATTCCTCAGTAGCTGGAGTGCTGAGGATCAAGAAGGGATAGTGTGTGTTATATGTTTACTTATGTCCGTTATCAGTCCAGTCAGTAAGGGCTGATGTCTCTATAGGTCCATTGTTTTTATTTGCTTATGTGTTTTATTCCTGCATTCTATGAGTTATATATACCATTATATGGCCCTTGTTTAGAGTTATACGTAGCGCCGCACTACGTTTTATATATTCTAGTTTGTATTTGTGCCTAGGTTGAGGCATTTGAGTGCTGGCTGCTTATTAAATATCCTTTCCATATAAGCGCAGGAGAATTATATACATTTCTATGTGTTCTCTGGAGTGACCAATCACACTTCTCTGTCTGGCAATCCGATGGATGTGTCTGGGTTTGGCGGTTGCCAGGAGAACGATACTTGCCTGACTGCATTGTGCCAAGTGTACAGTTTGGTGCAGGGGGGATTATGTTGTGGGGTTGTTTTTCAGGGGTTGGACTTGGACCCCTAGTTCCAGTGAATGGACCTCTTAAGGCGTCAGCATACCAAGACATTTTGGACAATTTCATGCTCCCAACATTGTGGGAACAGTTTGGGGATGGCCCCTCCCTATTCCAACATGACTGCGCACCAGAGCACAAAGCAAGGTCCATAAAGACATGGAGGAGCCAGTTTAGGTTGGAGGAACTTGACTGGCCTGCACAGAGTCCTGACCTCAACCGATAGAACACCTTTGGGATGAATTAGAGCGGAGACTGTGAGCCAGGCCTCCTCTCCCGATATCAGTGCCTAACCTCACAAATGCGCTTCTGGAAGAATGGTCAAACCTTCCCATAGATACCCTCCTAAACCTTGTGGACGGCCTTCCCAGAAGAGTTGAAGCTGTTATAGCTGCAAAGGGCAGGCCAACTCAAGATTGAACCCTACAGACTAAGACTGGGATGCCATTAAAACTTATGTGCGTGGAAAGGCTGGCCGACCAATACGTTTGGCAATATAGTGTATGTAGTGGCATGCCACTGTGTTATTAGGCAGTTTACGCCAGATTTTGTAAGAGGCAAGCACACTAATGGCACAGGTGTGCACAGGCTTTCTCTGGTTTCTGCAGCTGTGGATCTGAACATTCAATCCTGTGTCCAGGTTTTGCGGACACCTGCAATCTGGATTACACAGCTGTGAGGTGTCACTATATACTGTACTTTGGTCTGACAATAGCTCAGGGCTTCCAGTTGGAGACCGCTCCCAGTGGGGAGATTCAAGGTCTCATCGAGGAGTCAGAGGACCCTGCCAGAAGAAGAGATATAGGTCTCAGTTCCAGGAGTCAAGGAGGCTCCTATCGGGGTGTCAGGAGAACCTCCATCTGTAACAATTGTGAGCAATAGAGACATGGAACCTGTACGCGACAGCCATTTTTGTTTTTCATGAACAATAATCTTCCTCCCCACCCTCCTCCTGAAAACTGTGGAAATTTTTAGCTGTAAGTTTTAATGAATTTCAAAAAAGCCTCTTATCTTGACTAAAACACAAATAGACGCAGCGTCCAGACCTGGCCAGAGCTGTAAACAGCTAATTAGTCTTGACAGGATGTCTGTTTCTAGGAACCATGAAAAACACTTTCCTCTGCCCTATCATAAAACAATAATAACTCAGTCAAGCCATCACACATGACGTGTAAGGCCATTAAGGCTCTAGGAATGCAGAGCATGCCATAAAGCATCTATTCCACAACATAACAATTACACATACAATTCATAGGATTCAACATGAACAGGACACATTAATATTAGCTATATATTTGAATGGGGAATATCGTACTGAACAAATCAAGGTTATACAAAGGGTAGAAAGCAGTCTCTTCCCTCCTGGATGACAAGGTACGTTGTGTTTGATATCCCTGAGTTCGAAATATAATTGTGAATAATAATCTGCCAGTTGCTAGAATACCACCTGCACATACTGGAAGTTATTAATATTAGTATGAAACTGTAGTTGGGACTTGTCCATAAATTTGGTGACCTCCTAGTACCCATCCCCTAAACTGGATGATTGGTCAGTTGGTCTCTGTCCACACCCCCTTGATATCACAGAAAAGGGACAGACTGGATCTAGTAACCTAAGCTCTGGTTTTTACCATCAACCAAGGAACATCCAAGAGAGCCATGGCAATGTGTTTGCTTGGACAATTGGACTCTGCTAAAACCAAGGACTTTGCAAGTATTCTTCCTTCTCAACTCCTTTCTTTTATTTCTCTGTTGCGTTATTGTTCTCTTTATTTTAATTACACCATTTTTGACCTTTTCATTAATAAACCCTATTTTGAAAAGTGTTACAATTATCTCTAAGGCTTTTAATGCAAACTAAAGAATCCCTGTCTCTTGAAGAGTGCTACTGTACTGTATATAATAATCCTCTGAATATACCTGTCTGTGGTGACAGTGTGTGTTACAGACGTTTATTGTTCCCATTTGTTCTTGCTAAGATTGTGAAGGGTTGATAGTCCCAAAGCTATCTGGTGGCAGTTTGGAGTTTGAAGGGTTAACTGCGTAATTAACCTAACCCAGTGACAATCGCTCTTAGGCTTCTGGCACCTAGATTGTGGTCCTGCGAGCTGGAAAATATCAGTGCAAGGTGCAGCTGAGGGTGGCATTGTTACGCAAGTGACAGCGTGGTGTGAGATTGGCTGGTCCTTTGTCACGAGTTGGCTAGAAGGGCAGGGGTTGGAAACCACGTTCGTCACACCATCCATAGGCCAGAGGTAGGCCTTACAGCAGGGAGCTGTTTCTAAAGGCTAGAGAGCTAAGGAACCTGAAGAGATACTGCAAGTGAAGCTGAGTGAGCTTGTGGCTCGGCATTTTCCAATGCATGAATTTCTGTTCAATTTGGAGAAGATCCCCTGTGTGGGAAATCATTCATCTTGTGAACTTTCGCTTTCTTTTAAATAAACGTTGGCTACCAAGCCCTTAAAAATAGTTCCTGTCTGCCATCGACTCACTAAAACAATGCATCTACCACGAGAGCTTGGTTTCCCTCAGGCACGGGCGACATAGCCCTGGCCTCACATGAGCTCCCTGGGAAGGCTACATCACCAGTGCCTTCCAGAGAGATCTCATTTCTTCCCTCCAAGATCTCGGGGGTTATATAAAAAAAAAGAATTTTCTTCTTTTCATCAGATGAGTGTAATATATATATACTGCATGTTGAAATGCGTTTTTTATATATTACAAAATATATGAAAAATATTTTTAAAAATATATATTTTTTAAATATATTCTTAAGATTATTTTTTAACACATAAAAAAAGTCATTTTAACATATTTTAACATATATTTGTAAATGCATTCCAAAAATGTAGATTTGTACTGTTAAAGACATACAGTATATTTGAAATGTATTTTAAAAAATATTTTTTCATATAGTGTGTAATAAAAACACATTTCAACATGAAAATATATATATTTATTGAAATAATTTTTGAACATCTAATAAAATGCATTTAAACATAGATTTTTAAATATAATTGTAAATGCATTCCAAATTATGCCAATGAGGAGGGAGATTTTCCAAAAATCTTACCCATATGGAAGAGAAATATATTTTCAATATATTTAGAAATAAAAATTATACATGCAACATATATTTACAATATATTGGCCTACACGAATATATTTTAACATCTATTCCAAAAATGTAAATTAAAATATATTTTCCAAAGGCATATATTTAAAAATATATTTTTCAAAATATATTTTCCAGATATTTTTGAACATCTAAAAGAATGGATTTAAACATAGATTTTTAAACATACTCGTGCATTCCAAATTACACTTTGATATATATTGCAGCACGTGTTCTGAATATATTTTTAATAATATATTCACAAATATATTGAAATATATTTATTGAAATATATTGAATATGACCAAAATTGTAGTGTGTGTGTATGTATATATATATATATATATATATATATATATATATATATATGTGTGTCAGTATATTTGGGAAGAATATTTTTAAAATATGTTTCAAATATATTTTTCTTCCATGTGGGTTGTTAAAGGAAGTGTGTGTGTGTTGGGGGGGTCCGCCTGAAAGCTCTTGCTTGATCTAAAAGAACCAAATGGTTTTGTTTATACAATTTGCTATATTCATTTTTTTGTTTTATTCAGTTTAAAAATTTGAAGAACTTTAAAGTTGAAGTAAAGGAGGAGACAGAAGAGCCATATATGAAGAGCGACAAGCTGTGTAAGGAGGTCATAAGGGGTGAGTAATAAACACTCTGGGGTCTCTTATACATCTCAGTACAGGAGGTTTCACTCTCATCTTTATTCACAGACCCCGGAGACACCAGAGACACTCATAAAAATGTCAAAGAGGAGGAAAAAGCACATGTGAAGATAAAAGAGGAGGAAATCCCTATAGAGATCAGCACAGGTAGGCAGTAATTACAGAAAAGAATCTCAGGTTCTCCCTGTTTAACCCCTTCACGCCGGCGCCTCCCGGCCCTTTAAGAGTTTCAGAAGCTGGGAGGCGGGGGGTGGGATTTAGAGTCATGTGACCACCGTGACGCAACGTCATGGCGGTCGCATGATCGGGAAAGGTCCCGATCGAAAGAGGCGATCGGGACCTTTCCGTGAGTACCGGACATGTGTGCTGGGAGCGCGCAGGGCGCACCCCTCAGCACATATGTTTTTCTGAATTGCACACAAATGTGCGGCTGCTCGGCTTCAAGGCCCAGACGCCGGGAGGCCGCACATTTACGTTCGGCTGGTGTGAAGAGGTTAACAACACCAATCTCTTAGAGACTTTGGCTCTCCTCCTCTCATCTTGTCAGTGGGGTTGGTTTACTACAGGCAACTAGGCTTTGCACTCATTTTCCCCAGAAGGTTAATGATTGTGGTGAAGCTCTGTTGATTTCCACCAGCCTATACACCTCAGTACAGGGGGCTTCTCTCTCATCTTTATTCACAGACCCCGGAGACACTCAGGGTAATATCAAAACTGAGGAAAAAGAAAAAAGATCTGTGGACATTAAAGAGGAAGACATTTCTGAAGAAGTCAGCACAGGTGAGTAATAAACACTGAAAATATTTGCAGGTTCTCCTTTTTCAGGCACTACAACAATCTCTTCTTCTCCTCCTCCTAGATACAAAAATCCTCTGATATTTATTTATTATTGGTACTTATATAGCGCGTCAGTTTACGCAGCACTTTACATATATATTGTACATTCACATCAGTCCCCGCCCCCGAGGAGCGTACAATCTAAGGTCCCTAACTCACATTCATACATACACATACTAGGGCCAATTTAGACAGGAGCCAATTCACCTCCCATCATGTCTTTGGGGTGTGGGAGGAAGCCGGAGAACCCGGAGGAAACCCATGCAGGCACAGGGAGAACATGCAAACTCCAGGCAGGTGGTGCCATGGTTGGGATTTGAACCAATGACCTAGTGCTGGCGGAAGTGCTAACCATTTAGCCACTGTGCTGCCCCACAGGATAACAGAAAGATAACTATACGCCTATACCTATAACATTCATACACACAGGGGCGTCCCTAGGCAGGTGTGGGGGGGTGTGCCCCGCACTTGGTGACACCTTTTGCACAGGATTGACACCAGACCCGCTCCACCAGGGCATGGGTCACTACAGGGCCCCATGAGAGGCTCAGTCCCTGTATGTGCCGCTGCTGAAATAAGCAAGCATTGAGGGGACGGACAGTGAGGCAGGCACTTCGGACACCTCTCCCTGGAGTTTCAGCAGAGGGGCGGGTCCATATCGCTGCCACGGGTGTTGAAGTCGGAGAGCTGGAGGGGCGGGCAGAGTATGCAGCAGGTCAGTGTGTAATCCCGGGACCATGGTGACAGCACAGCAGCTTCATGTGGTGGGGGGGGGGGGAGAGGGGGGAGAAAGAGGGCAGAGAGAGAGAGGGGGTTCACCAAGTGTTCCTGCACCGGGTGACACCAACTCTAGCAATGCCACTGCATACACATACTAGGGCCAATTTAGACAGGATCCAATTAACCTCCCAGCATGTCTTTGGAGTGTGGGAGGAAACCGGAGTACCCAGATGAAACCCACGCAGGCACAGGGAGAACATGCAAACTCCAGGGAGGTGGTATTGTGGTTGGGATTCGAACCAATGGCCCTAGTGCTGCCAGGTGGAAGTGCTAACCACTTAGCCACTGTGCTACCCCATTGAAACCTAGAAAAACAATGTATTCAGTCAGTCTGTGTGTTTCCTACAGATGGATCCAGTAACAGAAATCCCCCAGAGAGATGTTACAGTCCTCTTTCTTCCTTGGATTTCACACGGGAACGTCACAAAAACCTGCGCTGTTATCAGGTAGAATGCACTGAGGTTCTTGTAGAATGATACATGATATATTTCCAATTTAATCTGATTAGGGTCTTACTTGACCTATCACTTATATTGTTTGGTTTGTTTCCAGATAATATGATGTTCCATTTCTGCTTTATTTATTATTCAGTATAAAAGGCTGAAGCACATTAAAACTGAAGTGACGGAGAAAGCTGGAGAGACAAATCTGAGGGGGGATAAGTCATTCAAGAAGGAGGAAATCCCACCAAAGATCAGCCTAGGTGAGGAATAAACACTAAATCCAGAGAAGAGTCCCAGATCCTCCTTGTTCAGTCACTACAACAATCTCTTCTTCTCCCCCCTCCTCTGTCAGTAGACAGTAATGGGGGGACAGTATGTGCCCATTGGGGGGGTCAGGAGCCACCCGCCTCTAGTAAACTCCAGGTATGAGCCATGGAAGGTGGAGGAGATGCCTCCAGAGATCAGCACAGGTGAGGAATAAATACTAAATCCAGAGAAGAGTCCCAGATCCTCCTTGTTCAGTCACTACAACAATCTCTTCTTCTCCCCCCTCCTCTGTCAGTAGACAGAAATGGGGGGACAGTTTGTGCCCAGTGGGGGGGGGGGGGTCAGGAGCCATCAGCCTCTATTAGACTCCAGGTATGAGCCATGGAAGGAGGAGGAGATGCTTCCAGAGATCAGCACAGGTGAGGAATAAACAATGAGGAAAGAAAAAACAGAGGGTGCACAGGCCTAGTGCATTACCATAAAAAAATGTTTAATAAAAAATAAAGTATGTGTTGTACTCACAAACGACAATATAGTCAAGGCACATCATAAAGAACAGCTGGGTCAACGCCGCGCTGAGTAACAGTCCGCAATAGGGAGTATAGACATCCAAAAGGCTGACGCGTTTCAAGGACTTGCCTCTTCCTCAGAGCCACAATAAACAATAAATCCAGAGCAGAGTCCCAGATCTTCCTTGTTCAGTCACTACAACAATCTCTTCTTCTCCCCCCTCCTCTGTCAGTAGACAGTAATGGGGGGACAGTATGTGCCCAGTGGGGGGGTCAGGAGCCATCAGCCTCTATTAGACTCTGGCTCTCCTCCTCACATCATGTCATTGAGACGTGACCAGTCTCCCCCCCACACACACTCTCTGGGGTCTCTCATACATCTCAGTACAGGGGGCTTCACTTTCCTCTTTATTCACAGACCCCGGAGACACCAGAGCAACTCTGAGAAATGTCAAAGCTGAGGAGGAGGAAGGAAGACCTCTGAATGCAAAAGGAAAAGCCGTTCTAGAGATCGGCACGGGTGGGTATTAAATGAACGCATATACGAGTCACACATTCTAATACAACATTATAACTCACCTGTAGGTGCAAGGAATATCTTCTAGACGTGCACCGTTCGGGAGATATTTGCATGTTTTGCAGCCGGTGACGTCACCTGAACATACGCACTGCACTCTGAATGGCGGCAAAGTCAAGTGTGCCATCCACTGAAAGTGCTGCGCCGTGACATACATGCACAAGAGTGACATCCTTGCAGCTTGGCCACTCAAACAGCCGGAGCACACAGACCCGAAAGGAGGACCGGGTGACGATGGAAGCCTTGGCAGCAGTGACAGTGCACCGCTGGAGGGCTTCATTTTAACCCCTTCATGCCTAAGGGTAAAACAAATCTTAATGCCTAAGCACAACACTTTTGACATGTGTTAGTAAAACCGTACATATCATCACAACTACTTTGTACATCCAGGTGAATTATACCTTGTTTTTTTTTCAGGACAAATTTGTCTTTCATTTGGTGGTGAGTGGTAATGGATATCTCCTGATTTTTTTTTTTTATTATCAAAGGAAAACTGTCCCAAAATAGTAAAAAAAAATAATTTTTAAAATTTAGCTGTGTGTTACTACCATAACCTACCATCAAAGAACAACCCAAAATAAATTTTCCAGCTCTTGACGATCGCAGCGATACCGTATATGTGTATGTTATTTGTTGTTTGTCCCCGGAGTACAGCCCAGAAACAATAGTGCGCATTTTGTTTTGTTTTTTTTTCTTTTTACCTAAAACACACCGACACTAACTGACACCAATTTTTTTTTTTAATCTTGGCCTTTGACCCTGAGCTGAACTAGATCAAACCTTGCTCTAGGTATTTTTTCTTTATTTTTCTATTTTAATATTTCTTTATTATTTATCTTCTTTTTTTTTTTTTCCTGCAAAAACATTTTTTTTCCCTCTATGCCAAGAATTAGAGAAATACAATGTATCTCTCTCCTCCATTCATAGAGAGAAAAAAACAAAACACAAGGGGGGCGGGCTGTACAGTGACAATCAGAGGCTATCACATAGATCATGTGACCCGGAATCTGGAGTCCCGGGTCCCGATTGTTAGAACGGGACCCGGGGCTCTCAGTGATAAAGCGATCCTTGTGCTGGGAGCGCAAAAGACCTATATTTGAAAATGTATTTTTAAAAATATTTTTCATATATTTTTTTAATATATAAAAAAAAAACACATTTCAACATACAGTGTGTGTATATATATATATATATATATATATATATATATATATATACACGCACATATATATACACACACACATATATATACACACACACACACACATATATATATATATATGTGTATGTGTGTGTATATATATATATATATATATATATATATATAAATATATTGAATATGGCCATATATATGTGTGTGTAATATATATATAAATATATTTTTTAAATATATTGAATATGGCCAAAATTGTAGTATTTTAAATATATGTCAATATATTTGGGAAGAATATTTTTAAAATATATTTAAAATATATTTTTCTTCCACGTGGGGACAACCATTCTAATCCATCTCCACCCTATCCAAGACTACAAAAAAAAAAATTTGCCTTTAGCTGTACATTAAAAAGCTGTTACAGCAGGTGCAGAGCAGTAGGCGGACTGATGAGTTGGCCGATGTGAAGACACAGTAGCAGGTGCAGAACTGCGGGCAGCAAGCAGGCGGATGCAGGATCTCAGGTGGTCAGGCAGGCAGGTGTTGTGGTGCAGCAGACGTGCAGAATCAGGAACCAAAATAGAGTCAGAATCAGCAACAGAGTATCAGGAACAGATTAAGACAAGCCGGGTAGTACAGGATCAGGTCACAAACAGTAGAAGCTGACGACCACTCAGCAACTCTCTGGTCGCTGGAGCCACTTTGAATAGGCAAGTAAATGACAAGTTCACACTAATGCGCACGGGCACGCACGCAAGTTAGGGCACGTTTCGTTTTCATTTGAGAATTCCCACGTGGAAGAAAAATATATTTGAAATATATTTAAAAAATATTCTTCCTGAATATATTGACATATATTTGGGAAGAATATATTTATACTGCATGTTGAAATGCGTTTTTTATATATTACAAAATAAATGAAAAATATTTTTACAAATATATATATTTTTAAATATATTCTTCAGATTTTTTTAAAACATATAAAAAAGTAATTTTCACATATAGTTTTACATATATTTGTAAATGCATCCAAAAATGTAGATTAAATGTATATTTGTAAAGACATAGAGTATATTTGAAAATGTATTTTTAAAAATATTTTTCATATATTTTGTAAGAAAAACGCATTTCAACATACAGTATGTGTATATATATATATATTTATTTATTGCAATATATTTTTAAATATATTGAATACGGCCAAAATTGTAATATATGTCAATATATTTGGGAAGAATATTTTTTAAATATATTTTTCTTCCATGTGGGTTAATATGAGCATGTGCATTTCTTCACGCATGACTGTGCATACGATTTCCCTGACACATCTCTTCGTATTTCTGATCATTCTCTTGGTTCTGCTTTTCCACAAAACTTGCCCATATGAAAAAAAATATATTTTTCAATATATTTAAAAAAAAAAAATGATACATGCGACATATATTTGCAATATATTGGCCTACGCAAATATATTTTAACATGTATTCCAAAAATGTAAATTAAAATATATTTTATATATACTCTCATCCACCTTACTAACCGCTCCGTATCCGCCACCCCTCTCTGCCAATCCCTCCACTGGCTTTCGATTGCCCAATGGATAAAATTCAAATTACTAACATTGATGTACAAAGCTGTCCATAACACTGCCCCGAACTACATCACCGACCTGATATCCATTTATCACCCAAAACGCACTCTCTGCTCCTCACAAGACCTCCTACTCTCTAGTTCCCTGGTCTCCTCCTCCCATGCCTGTCTCCAGGACTTATCCAGGGCTTCCCCCATCCTCTGGAACTCACTACCCCAATCCATCAGACTGTCACCTACCCTCCTCACCTTTAGGTGCACCCTGAAAACCCATCTCTTCAGGGAAGCCTACCCCGCCCTCACCTAATTGCCAATCTCCTCCACTCTTCCTACCACTCCATCCCCCCACAGCTATTTCCTCCTGTACCACTGTCCCCTCCCTCCTAGATTGTAAGCCCCAAGGAGCAGGGCCCTCGAACCCCTCGTGTATTGTATTGTTACTGTACTGTCTCGTGTACTGTCTCCCATTATAATGTACAGCGCTGAGCAAACTGTTGGCACTATATAAATACTGAATAATAATAATAATGTATTACAAAAATGTAAATTAAAATATATTTTCCAAAGGCATATATTTCAAAATATATTTTTCAAAATATATTTTCCAGATAAAAAAAATGCATTTAAACAGATTTTTAAATATACTTGTAAAAGCATTCCAAATTACACTTTGATATATATCGCAGCGTGTGTTCTGAATATAATTTTAAAAATATATTCACAAATATATTGAAATACGTTTTTGAAATATATTGAATACAGCTAAAATTTTAGTATTTGAAATATATGCCAATATATTTGGGACGAATATTTTTAAAATATATTTATTTCTATATTGCAGCATGTGTTCTGAATATATTTTTAATAATATGCTCAAAAATATATTGAAATACATTTTTTAAATATATTGAATACGGCCAAAATTTTAGTATTTGAAATATATCTCAATATATTTGGGAAGAATAGTTTTAAAATATATTTTTCTATATTGCAGCATGTGTTCTGAATATATTTTTAATAATATGCTCAAAAAATATATTGAAATACATTTTTGAAATATATTGAATACGGCCAAAATTTTAGTATTTGAAATATATGTCAATATATTTGTTAAGAACATATTAAGAATGTATTTTTAAAATATATTTTTCTTCCATGTGGGTAGGCATGCTGGGATTAGAATTGTAGAAGTCTACAATTCTTTTTGTGTGGCAGTGTCCAATCCTGTAGGCGGTAGTATAACCCAACAGTATATGACTTTTTGGGGTTTATTTACTAAAGCTGGAGAGTCCAAAATCAGACTCCCTTCTGCATAGAAACCAATCAGCTTCTAACCTCAGCTTGTTCAATGAAGCCTGGAAGATGATTGGTTTCTATGCAGAAGGGAGTCTGATTTTGGACTCTCCAGCTTTAGTAAATAAACCCCTTTGTGTCTTTCGTTGTACCCCAGAAAAGGAGATTTCCTCTAGGTGTGCATTGTTCTCACTTACCTTCATTTCTTGCAGATGGACAATACAGATTTCAAAACAGGGAAAAGTATCCCACGGCCTCTTCAGCTGGTGAAATAATTGCGAGTGAGGACGTCACAGCCAGTGTTTCAGATGAAAACGTTGTTACACCAAATCGGCAGCCGGTGTCACTAAAAGAGGAGAGGCCCTTCTCGTGTTCCGAATGCGGGAAATCCTTCGCTCGGAAATACTGCCTCACCATACACCAGCGAAGTCACACGGGGGAGAAGCCATTTCTGTGTTCGGAGTGCGGGAAATGTTTTTCTCATAAATCTAATCTTGATCAACATCAAAGAACTCATACCGAGGTGGAGCCCTTTTCATGCTCTGAATGTGGAAGGCGGTTTCATACCAGGCGGATTTTAGCCACGCATCAGAGAGGCTCATACAAGTGAAAACGTGTACACGTGTGCCAAGTGCGGTCAAAGTTTTTTTAAGAAATTATATCTTAAAAGACATGAAAGAGTTCATATCGGGTTGAAGCCGTACTAATGATGTGGATGTGGGTTGTATGTTGCTGCAAATAAAAAAAAAAACAAAAAACTCACACGGGCTGTTTTCCATATTCCTGTTTTTATTCCAAGAAAATGTTTTAACAGGTAAAATAAAGTAGTCCTTTCATAGCCGTCTTAGGCTCCAGTCCAGTGACACTACTTAGGCTGAGAAGATGCCATCGTTCTGCTGCAGACAGGAGGAAGCATTTCCTCAGTCTTCTCTCCTACAGTGATTATTATTATTATACAGGATTAATATTATTATTATTATTCAGGATTTTTATTATTATTATACAGGATTTATATATTTTTATTATTATTATTATTATTATTCAGGATTTATATTATTATTATTATACAGGATTTATATTTTTATTATTATTATTATTCAGGATTTATATTATTATTATTATACAGGATTTATATTTTTATTATTATTATTATACAGGATTAATATTATTATTATTATTCAGGATTTATATTATTATTATACAGGATTTATATTTTTATTATTATTATTATTCAGGATTTATATTATTATTATTATTATACAGGATTTATATTTTTATTACTATTATTATTATTATTCAGGATTTATATTATTAATATTATTATTAATATTATTATACAGGATTTTATATTTTTATTACTATTATTATTATTATTCAGGATTTATATTATTTTATTATTATACAGGATTATATATTTTTATTATTATTATTATTATTATTATTATTATACAGGATTAATATTATTATTATTATTCAGGATTTATATTATTATTATACAGGATTAATATTATTATTTATTATTCAGGATTTATATTATTATTATACAGGATTTATATTTTTATTATTATTATTATTATACAGGATTAATATTATTATTATTATTATTCAGGATTTATATTATTATTATACAGGATTTATATTTTTATTATTATTATTATTCAGGATTTGTATTATTATTATTATTATTCAGGATTTATATTATTAATATTATTATTAATATTATTATACAGGATTTATATTTTTATTACTATTATTATTATTATTCAGGATTTATATTATTATTATTATTTATACAGGATTTATACAGAGTCAACAGTTTGCTCAGCGCTTTACAATATAAAGGGAGACAATACAGTTCAATACAAGAGGGAAAGGAGGGAACTGCTCCTTGGAGTTTACAATCTAAGAGGGAGGGGCCAGTGGTAGAAAAGGTAATAACTGTGGGGGATGGACTGATAGGAGGAGTAGAAGATTCCATTATTAGCAGAGGGAAAGATAGTCTTCCCTGAAAAGATAGGTTTTCAGAGATCGCCTAAACGTGGGCAGAGTAGGCGATAGTCTGATAAATTGGGGTAGAGAGTTCCAGAGGTTGGGGGAAGCTCTGGAGAAGCTGACCTTGAAACCCACTCCACTGACCTCACCATCCCCCCCCCCCCCCCAAAAAAAAACCTATCTTAGCCGACCTCAAAACCCGCTCCCCAAACCTCACCACCCCACCCTCTCCCCTCCCCCCAAAAAAAACTGTCTCAGCCGACTTTGAAACACGCTCCCCGACCTTATCACCTCTGCTACACCCCCCCACCCCCCCAAAAAAAACTATCTCAGCCGATTTCGAATCCAGCCCCCCGCCCCACCCCCCCCCAAAACAAACAAACTCACCCGACCTTGAAACCTGCCCCCCCCCCCCGACCTCACCACCCCCAAAAAAAAAACTATCTCAACCAACCTAGAAATGCAACCCCCCCCCCGACCTCACCACTCCTGCCCCACCCCAAAAAAAAACTACTGTATCTCAGTCACTTCGAAACCCGCCCCTCCGACCTACCACCACCCCCCCCCCCCCACCTTAAAAAAAAAAAAAAACTATCTCAGCCTATCTTGAAATCTGCCCCTCCGACCACACACCACTACCGCCCCCCCTCCCCAAAAAAATAAAACTCTCAGTTGACCTCAAATCCCGCCCCCCGACCTCACCAACCCTGTCCCATCCCCCCCACCCCAAAAAAAAAACTCAGCTGACTTCGAAACCCACCCCACTGACCTCACCACCCCCCCCCCCCGAAAAATACTATCTAAGCCAACCTCAAACCCGCCCCCCGACCTCACAACCTACCCTCCAAAAAAAAAACTATCTCAGCTGACCTCAATACCCACCCCTCTGAGCTCACCACCCCCGCCCTACCCCACCACCACCAAAAAAAAAAAAAAACCCTATCTCAGCCGACGTCGAAACCCGCCTTCCCGACCTCACCCCCACCCCACCCCCCACCCCTCAAAAAAAACTGTCTCAACCGACCTCAAAATCCAACCCCGATCTCACCACCCCTGCCCCACTCCACCCACCCCCCCAAAAAAACTCTCAGCCGACCTTGAAACCCACCTCCTCGACCTCACCACCCCCGCCACTTCTCCTCCCAAAAAAATACTATCTCAGCCGACCTTGAAACCCGCCCAATTGACCTCATCACCGCGACCCACCCCAAAATAAACTTCTCAGCCAAACTCAAAACCCGCCCCTCCAACCTCACCACCACTGCCCCACCCATCAAAAAAAAACAATCTCAGCGGACCTCAAAACCGGCCCACCAGACCTCATCACCCACGCCCCGCCTCCCAAAAAAAAAACTATCTAAGCCGACCTCGAAACAAGCCCCCCTGTCCTCACCACCCACCCCCCTAAAAAAAAAAAAACCTCTCAGCCGATCTTGAAACCCGCTCTCCCGACCTCACCACCCCCACCCCACCCCCTCACCACCAAAAATAAAAAAACACTCAGTCGACCCCGAAACCCGCTCCCCCTTACCTCATCACCCCTGCCCCAACCCCCCCCACCCCAAAAAAGAAACTTTCTCGGACGACCATGAAACTCACCACCCCCGACCTCCCACCCCCGACCCACCCAAAAAAAAAACTGTCTCAGCCAACCTCAACACCCGCCCCACCCCCTTTACCCCCAAAAAAACCTGTCTCTGCCAACTGTCCCTGTCTCCCTCCGTGGAGGGATTGGCAGAGAGGGGTGGAGAGCATTGAATGAAGGACAGTGGAGGGATTGGCATAAAGGGATGGAGGACACTGAGTGGAGGCCAGTGGAGGGATTGGCAGAGAGGGGTGGCAGATACAGAACGGTTAGTGAGGTGGATGGGTCTGGCAGCAGCATTCATGATAGACTGAAGAGGGGATAGCCTGTGATGAGATAGACCAATGAGGAGGGAGTTACAATGCCTGAGTGCTCGAATGGTCAGTCCGCCCCTGCCAGGGAGTGAATAAGTTGCTTAGTGGTTTCCTTGGAGCTTACAATCTAAGAGATTTGAGTGATCACTCAGACTGGACATCTTAAGCACGTCACAAAGTAAGAGGCTGCAGCAGGGGCTGACCTGTGTCAGATAGTTGTGAACACAGTCAACAGCTGCACATGTCAAAGAAAGAGAGCGCGCCGGCTCTGGTGCAATAACCTTTATTATGAGTTTAACCGCTTCCCGACCGCCCTATAGCAGAAGTACTGCTACAGGGGAGGCACAAAATCACATATATATATACATGATTTCGCATTTCCGGGTAGGGGCGTTCGCTCCCTACCCGTGCCACTATTGGATTCTTGGCTGGGACTCGGTGATTGTCGGCGGAGCTGACGGGAGAGGTCTATATGTAAACAACACAGATCTCTCCCATGTCAGCACGAACAGGCTGCTTTGTATTGCTCTGCACAGCAGGGCAATACAAAGCAGCTTGTCTACATAGTAAAAAACACAACAAAGCACACAGTTAACCCTTTGATCGCCCCAGATGTTAACCCCTTCCTGCCCAGTGCCATTAGTACAGTGTCAGTGATTTTTATTAGCACTGATCACTGTATTAGTGTCACTGGGGATGTCAGTGACAGTCAGTTGCCACCCAGTGTGAGAATGCGCGCCGCAGTCCAACAATAAGTCGCTGATCGAGGCCATTTCTAGTAAAATTAAAATTTCAGTATACATACCGCCATTTGTAGACACTATAACTTTCACGTAAACCAATTAATTTACACGTATTGGGATTTTTTTTTAGCAAAGACATGGAGCAGAATACAATTTGGCCAAAATTTATGACGAAATTTTATTTTTTAAATTTTTTTAGTGGATATGTTTTATTGCAAAAAAGTCCAAAATATTGTTTTGTTTTTTTTTTTTAAATTGTTTATAGAGCAAAAAAAATTAAAAATTTACAGGCAATCAAATACCATAGAAAGAAAGCTCACTTTGTGGGGAAAAAAGGACAAATTTCATTTATGTACAATGTTGCATAACCGCACAATTGTCAGTAAAAGCAACGCAGCGCAGCAGCGCCATGTTGCAAAAAAATGGCCTGGTCAGGAAGGAGGGGGGGGGGGGGGGGGGGTAAAACCTCCGGAGGGCAAGTGGTTAAAAACAGATACAATGTTGCACCCATATGTTTGGTGCTTGAACGTGCACATCAAAAAGAAACACCGCTAGTCCCAATGCTCCTGTCAGTTTAACGCCAGTAGATATATGAGCCTGGTTCTCAGGTGTTGAAGATGGTGTTCCCAGGATGAATCTACACCTGGGATAACCCTGCTCTGAGGTTGGTGTCCTGCTTGCAGAAACAGAAAGACGGGCCGCTTAAGGGCGCCAAGCTGCTGGTGCCTTGCGCCGTCCTCCACTGTCCAGTTACACTGACGGCTCTAGGAGGGCCAGTCAAGCCTTGTTTTCTTTAGACTTTGAACCAGGATTTACATGATTCTGTCATCTCTGAGCAGGCATCACAGTCCGGGAAGCAGATGCTGACCTTGTATGATGCCTTCCTACCCACATGGAAGAAAAATATATTTGAAATATATTTTAAAAAATATTCTTTCCAAATATATTGACATATATTTGAAATACTGCAATTTTGGCCATATTCAATATATTTCAATAAATATATGTATATACTGTATATGTTGAAATGCATTTTGTATATATTACAAAATATATGAAAAAAATTTTTTTAA